AAGGTTCACCTAAATACTGTAATGGTTTCTTCTGTTGCAACTGATACAAACTACATACTCTGAAATGAACAAAAATGTACATGTTAAATATCGTCTCAACTGGAATGACGAGAAAGACATAATCATTTACATTTATGAATAATTTTTAACTAAGAAAACGAACGTTCAGTAGAAAGTGTAGAAACTTGATCGCACTGAAATCTAATACAATTTAATCTACTTCAACAGGTTATACAATGTTATAATCCCATGGGTGAATTAATTGGTACTCGTCGTTTAACAATTAATTGCTGTATTCAATAATCGTTTCACTTAGTAACAGCTACAGATGTTTCGTTCTTGAGGGCTCAGGAAAATCTGCTCTCAAGGCAAGGAAAAAAAGAAAGCTAGTAAGAATCCTTGAAGAAGGGAGGTTTTCCCTTGGAAGGGCATGGGTCAGATAGATTCTTGAGGACTGTGATTAATTCCTACCTTTAAATACAGTCACGTAAGCTGCCTCCACTGTTATAATGTATAATTAATTATAACAAACTAATTCTGGGGGTATCTAACAACAGTTGTAGTCGGTCATAGTAACAAAATGGTTAACCCTTATCGGTCGTATACCACCACTGACGTGACATTGCAATTTTATCGTATAAGTCGTGTATCCCATGAAAGATAGCAAGACGGAAAAGGTAAAAGTTCTAACTTCTACCCAACCACAAGTTATCGATAAAACAATAGCCTCAGATAAAAATGTGAAATGTTCTGTAGAATTTTTAAAGTAATTCAGGAAGTGTCTCTTACTATATTCTCACCATTCATGGGTACAGAGTGTTCCCATGTAACAAATTTCCTGGACAGCCGTATATAGGTACGCGTCTTTAATATCCTCCAGATACTTTGGATTAAATGCATGCATGAAAAATCTGTATTCTTCATGCATATTAAAGACACATTTCAAACACTAGAATATAATCGTCCTTACAGAAATCTACACGAATTTATGAGACGACCTAATAAAAGGTACCAAGACAGCAACCAGTTTACCACACATCAGACGAAACAGAGCAGTTCAAAGCACTTTTCCAAAACAACACTAGAGACTCAGCTTCCACTGCACGGGGACCAGTTTATAACAAGATTAATCTCGCGACAGAATTTATCGTAAGCAACTATTGCACATAAAGCTGATTGCAACCCGTACTGTCATTATATCAAGATACGATACGGAGATACGATGTATCGGGTGCAAGTGAACGTTATTAAGAAGACTTAGCAGAGTTCGATGCAACGTGACGTGAAACTTGCTCGAAAATGTCACGAGCACTTTCTAAAAGTGCCGGAAAAGGTGGTACCGTTCGACGCCTGGCATCTACATATTCTCCATCCACTAAGGTTTCATCGATGAAACGTTCGCTTTCTTGTCACCGTTCTTGTCTCGAGACGATTTTAATCCCTGCTTATATTTTTCTTTTTTTTCTTTCTCCTGGAGTTTCTTTTCCTCCTGAGAAGCTACTCCTGGCGTTTCTCCTTATTTCTCAGAGACTCGTCCTTTTTCCGGCTCCGATCCGTCCAGAAGGCATCCGTTCCGCCAACTTTCACGAAAATGATAGCGGACGCGCCTCTCCTCCGGCATGGGCAGCCACAATAAAGCGATGAAATTCGACGCCGGCGATGACGATAATCGAACGTTGCCACGGGATTGAGCGATCGAAATCGGCCGTGTAATAAGCAACGGTCCGATGTTATTTTAATGTGATAGTTGCGCGACCCGGCTCGATCGTATCCAGCGGGTCCGTTTCGTGTCTTCATCCCTGCGGCGAGCTTCAATGTTGTTCGGGGGTATTTTATTAAATCATTATGTAAGTAACATAACCCTCTTGATTTTTTCTATTATAGTATAATGGATTACATATGTTACATTGCGTATGTTCTGTAGTCAACTCTGAAATTTTATGTATAAATCGGTAATTTTTTTAGGTACCGTAACTTAGACTTAGCCAGAGGTAAGTTTATCCAAAAGTCAGAAAGTGATCGTTTTTCGATTTTGCAGCTCTGCAAATTTGTTAAGTTTTGATTTTAAGATAAAGTTAACCCTGAGTGACTCAAAGTTCTCCCAATTTGGGATATTAATAAAAATTGAAATATTGAAGGTGATAGAGTTAACTTTATCCCAAAGCCAAAAGATGATCATTTTTTATTTTGCAGCTCATTTGCAGGTATTGTTACATGAACCAAGTACGCAAAAATCAACTTAATTTAACAATTGATAGAGAGGTGCAAAATCGAAAATGATCGTCTTTTGACTTTGGGATAAAATCATGAGCTAGCACTGTTACTTCTAGACTTATTGTCAAAGCTGTTGAAGATTTTTAAGATGTAACATTTCAGTCTACCTAAAAAATGTTTACTTTATAATATGGAGATACATAGAATAAGTTTCATTCTTTCTTGAGTCGTAGTTTCACACTATAACCGCTAGGATGAAGCACCTGCATAACATAACCCTATATTTTCAACTACAAGCCCATATTTAGACCCGAGCCTGTATTTGGACCACTTCCTCTAATATTAAAATACATATAAACAAATGTGATACAAAATAAGAAAAAAAAAGTACAATTTCTTTGGTTTCTTTTTACTTACACCACTTTCAGAATTACTAGCACATATAAGCATTTAAATAAATTTCATGCAATCACTACAGGGGTCTCGCGATTATTGTCCCAAACTCGAGTCCGCGCCGGGGCAACAAAGTATGCGCTTGCCAGGTTCCATTGCCTCCCCCCTAGTGGTGGGGATGACGCCTGGGCAGTAATCGTGGATCAACAATCAGTCAATAATCGCGAGTATATTGCAATTCATCTACTAATCAACACACTTCTTTCATTTGTTTTTAGTTGCAATACAGTTTCACGAAAACAGTATGAATCTACCTATTACACGATACCAATATCAGAAATAAACAAATTAAATAATAAATATTAATAATTTTCACGTTACGAACGAAATACTGTACTGATAACCATACTGTAGTCTTATTCACCTATCGTAACCCTCGCCAAAAATGTTAAGGAAAGAAGATCGCAGGGGGAGAGGGCAAATTGACCACCGAAAAAATTCCAAAACGTGACAAAAAACGCAAAAACCGTGTAACATGTACCGGTTGCAAAAATATTCGGTTTTACGACATGCACGAACATCAGTCCCCCCTTGAAACCCGATATTCTTCCCCTGGTACAACGTGCCTGTTCTCTGAAGAAATTTCCATTACATTTTCATTAATCCAATAAAATAATAAGACAACGAGGCCGGGCGCGCGACGATACCCTTTACTTAGCGGCGCGTCGGTTCATGACAAAATGCCCATTTACGACGTGACGTTAATCGATCCGGCGCGTCGCTCGATCGTCAATTAAAGCCGAAGTGCCCAGACAAGCTGGAGGATCGGAGGACTTCGTTAAAAAAATTTCGGTTCCTATAGAACAGCTGCTGCCATTTGGCCGCTTGTGACGCCTCGGCCCTCGGTTTAACTTGGAGCGATTTTGGCAGGTGACCGGTGCATATCGGCACCTGCTCGCCTCAACGAGACCTCGTCAATGGCGAGAGCCCCACGTAATTTATATGTCGCTACACGGGGAATATCTGATTCCTCCCCTTTGGGGCCCTGGATAACTGCTTAACGATTCATCGTACGAATCGATCAGCGAGATTTACGGAAGATACAAAAACGCCGACGGGCGTACAAGACCGCGAACGACCGTGCGTCGGTTCTGTTTGAAGATCTCGAAAAACGAATATCGTATTAATTATTACCAAAGGACGACGCCTGGTTGATCGGTTTCGACGAGCCGATGAGTACGAATTGACACACGGCGATATGCGTATAACATGTGACAGCCGAAACTTTCACTATTGGGACCATGTGATAAAACGAGCTCGATTATGTTCACGATACTAACAAGGAACCCTGATAACCAGTTGTGGACAAAGTTTCGAGCTAATTGCCAGCAGATAATAATAAAAGTTACCTAAAAAATCATGGCCATCTGTTTCCGCATTTGGCTTGCGTTTTGTAGGCAACATAACCTCTATCATATTGGAGGCAAAAACGGAAGAGAATCTCGGAAAGCTCATTTGCTGCATATGTTGCTGCCAATGTGCTCGCAAGTTATAACAAATCTTGCAACAAACTCGTAGCCATGACTTTATAACAGGCATTGGACAAAATTTAGCTTTGCCGCTGACGTTCAGGTTATAACGATAGAACTTATCATGGAGGAGCCTATGAACTTATTGTCATTTTACTTCACTATAGCCCCGATCATAGCAATATAGTTAGAGTTCACTGTACATACAAAATATTCGTACTGTGATTTAACTGTGCAAAAATCTGTTACGGTACTTTTTCTGACCGCCATTTTGTCGACAGGATATTCAATATGTCACACAACGCCTTGTGAATTGAATTACATAATATTCCAAATGCTTTGAATTATCAAATATACCGTCGGAGTATAATCAAAAAACAAAATAGTACTACGTACTATTCTATACTTTCAAATAAATAGTACCTATGTAGTATAACTATACCTACAAAAATCTGTTACGGTACTCTTTCTGACCGCCATTTTGTCGACAGGATATTCGATATGTCACACAACGCCTTGTGAATTGAATTACATAATATTCCAAATGCCCTGAATTATCAAATATACCGATGGAGTATAATCAAAAAACAAAATAGTACTATTTATTATTCCATACTTTCAAATAAATAGTACCCATGTAGTATAACTGTACCTACAAAAATCTGTTACGGTACTCTTTCTGTCTGCCATTTTGTCGATAGACTATTACGTATGTATGCCACGTGACGCTTTGTGAATTCAATTATGTACATAGCGTCCGTACTGCCCTGAATTATAAAATATACTAACCGAATATCATAATAAAATAAAATTATTATAATAATAACGATAATAAATATTCGTCTTGTAACTGCTCGTCCACAGGTATCCAGAATCGAGGCTAGCAAAATTGTTCAACGGCAGCATCCCAATCGTCCTGGACTCCCTGAAGCAGCACTATTTCATCGACAGGGACGGCGGGATGTTCAGGCACATACTGAATTTTATGAGGAACTCCCGGCTGTTAATACCGGAGAACTTCGCCGATTTGGATTTGCTGCTGGAGGAGGCCCGGTACTTCGACATCGCGCGTAAGAGACGGCTCATCTTTATCCATATTTTATCCCGTCCGCACGATACCGTTCCAGCCAGTTTCGTTTTTTGTTTTTCTTATCTCCATCTTCGATGGTTGTTAATCAATATTATGGAATCAAGCGTACGTACCGTTAAATTAAACAAGCCGAAGGTATTGAAATTCACGAGAGCCGGTATTACTTAATCTTCGACGAAAATCTGAACGGTCAGACAACTTCTTCGGCTTCTGTGCCGAGGCGAAAGATCACGGCGCTGCGCCTGGCGACGATAAATCATGTTGTCTGACCGGCAGAATCTCTCCCCGGATCATTTTTCCTGCCATTAACCGCCAATACCAGCAGCACGGAAAGTTCATATTATGCTGCATTAAACGGGCGATATCTCGATAACCGGCGAAACCACGACAAAAACTCGAGCCTCTCGAAATTCCAGCGGCTTCGATTGTATCGTTCTATCTCGTGCAAAAGCGAATCGTTCGGTCTTCCTCCGCATGGAAAGGAGAAAGAATTCACGTGAATATATCAATTGGTGTTCGAAAGGTTTCTGACAAAGTCGTAGAAAGGTTATAGTAATTCTTATTGAAAGTTAAAGAGTCTGTTGTGTTGCTTTCAAGAACAAATATGATGATTTCAGGAATTGTACTTTTTGGTGAGTGGAATTTCCTAGCTGAGTTTCTAAATGGCGATTAACAACCATCTGAGATTTTCAAACGGAGTTTCTAAATGACTACGCGCATTGACTAGGCTACTGGCAAACTCGCGCTCTGATTGGTCGGGGTTTCTCGTTAATATCTCGGTAACGAAGCCTCAGATTACATTGTTGCTAAGGAAAAACTTGTTCCAATTCACTCCGCGAGTGCCCCATTTCCGGGTCGGACAACATTTTTGTTACACCCTGTACACGTATCTCGCCCTATCAAGCACGCTATTCTGAATCTTTGTAGGTTAGTCCAGATAGGATAGTCCAGAAGCACTGAAACCGTTAAATATTCATTAACCCCCAAAGTTAACCGAACGCCCTGTTACAGCCATGTGTAGGCAGTTGGAACAGATGAAGAAGGAGCGGATAAAGAACGGTTCGACGACGACAACGACATCTTCCTCTTCGCCAAGCCCGCCACCTACGAACCAACTGAGCAACCGTGGCTCAGGTTGCACGACAGTCCCTTGCAACCGTGACACGGACAAAATACGGGGCACAGAAGGCAACTGTAACTACGAATGCGTCGCCCTACACGTCAGCCCTGACCTGGGCGAGAGGGTGATGCTGTCGGGTGGTAGAGCATTGCTGGACGAAGTGTTTCCGGAAACGACCCAGGCGGTTATCGACGCCCGATCAGGCGTCGCCTGGCATCAACAAGACGCCCGTCACGTGATCCGATTTCCATTGAACGGCTACTGCAAGCTGAACTCCGTTCAAGCGATCACTAGGCTGCTGAACGCGGGATTCCGCGTGGTAGCGAGCAACGGAGGTGGTGTCGAAGGTCAACAGTTCTCGGAGTACCTGTTCGTCCGACAGGCCGTCAACACCTGACGGGGGACCGCGCATCAGCGCAAAACGAGCTCGAGGACGATCCGTTGCATCCAACGGGACCACGATCCCGAGTGAGATGTCCCCGTGGAGAAGACTAACGAAAGACTGCGCTCCCGGCGCTGATCGGGCGGAGCAGCAACGATGGCTGAGCTTCCAGGGATTGGGCAGCGAGGAGGTCTAGTGTATGATTTGAACCCCTTAGCACATCGCCTGATAGGGATTTTACGAGCTTCGATGACGTTGCTGAGATTGGTGCTAGGTTGGTGGTGTTGTCTAGGGGAATTGGTATGTGCTGGGGTAACGATTAGAGATGGCGTGAAAAATCACTAACGGTGATTTATCACAGTGACCGAGTCACGATCACGGTCGTGATTTAAGTTCATTTATGACCGTGATTCCGATTTTTTTATCTTGAGTGAATTTGATCACTGCGATCGTAACTCCTTGATCTTTAAACAGAAAAACGTATTCAGTATGATTTTACAATGAATTACATTACTATTCGTGTTTGTAAAAATCAGTAGAGAAAACAGGAAATTCTAAAAGAATGATTTGCTAGGTAACATGTAGATTGTAATTTATAATCATTAATTTATTCATTATTTTTCATTGTTTCTAATTATTCCTTCAGTTTATACGATATAACTCGAATTTTTGTTTTGATGTCGTTAATATTAAATACACAGATTATGTGTCGCGTGTAAAGAACTGTTAGGTTTCTCCACCAATCAGAAACGATCACGAGAAATCACGAATCACTGTGAAAAACCACCGTGATTGGGAACGAACGTGATCGAATCACGAGTGATTCACAAGTAGCAGTTCACGCCATCTCTAGTAGCGATAGAGGATGGTAGTTAACACGTTCGTTACCAAGTGTCACATACTGCATACTCCTGCTTAAGACCCCTTTCCCCTTTAGTGTTGGAAAACAGGGTGACACATAAGAATTTTTTTTAAAGAAAGTAAAGAACTTTTTAGCTTTTATTTATTATATATTCAGGTAAATGAAAAAATTTTTTGTTTCTGTATTCCTGCATTGTAGGTGGCGCGAATCGTGTTGATCCGAAATTCCAGTGGATACAGACGGTGCCCATCAGAACGTAAAAATTAATTAACTAACTTTTTTAATTTTTGTGGGATTCTTGTTGTAATTGAATCAATTATCGTATAACCTACTATTGAAAATTTTGAAGCATAATATCTTTTGTTATTAACAATAATATTACGTAAAACTTCCTCCTATCTTTGCATGTCTTGTTTTATTCTTTCGACTTCATGATAGGACGTACGATAGACGTTAGAGTAACCTTCAATGATCTTTTTGGGATTTTGATTTCGAACTACTGTAATATCGAGATATCCTGAGTACCGTTTGTACAATGCAATTTTGGGTCAACACCATTAGCGCCACCTAATGAGCTTCTTTTTGCATCAGTTTTTAAAGTTTTTTAAATGATTAAGATAGTCCTGGATTGAAGACCTCTGCTACCCTGGGACTACAAAAAGGACTTCCATTCATGATCCTGCTGTATTTGCTACCGTTGAGCAGGGATGGGTGTAACTTCATTCGTTTTTTAGACGTTTAGACAATTAATTGGATTAAACGCTTGTTTGGATACGTGTCTACTCATTCAAACAAGGTATTATTTTATTCTATGATTAAAATTCCTATGTTTCCTCAAATCAGCAACTAGTTTCTTATTTTATATTCATTATTCAAAACGTTTTATGTCGACAATGAATACCCATCTCCGCTGTACACTATTCGAATCATCGTAACGAAAGATTTCAATGACTGCAGAGAAATGAAAACTGACTCTTGGATTTATGTTATATTGTGAGATTTGGTATTATGAAGATTATGAGCTCGTATGGGCTTGTGTTAAGGGGTTAATGAGCAGTTCGTACACTAAAAGGTTTAGTTGATGCTCTGTTTGTTAAATATTCAGAGGCGAGTAGTATTATAAACAATTAGGCTCATGTGAGAGGATTTAAACGGCAACCAGGTATCGAACATATGAACATTTACGTCCATTTTTTAAGGTAGTTTCGCCTGGTTTTCAAAAGTGATATCATTCGACTACTCTTTAGACGTTAGGTTGTTGCATACAAAATGGCGGATTTTGTCTTGGTATTTTCTTTGAACTGTAAACTAATTTTATCTGACAAAACGGTGCACGTTTGTCAACCAATCAGGAATATATCGATACTATTAATACTGGAAGTTTTAAATTTTTCGAAGTATATTAGTGAACCTGAAATTAATGTTTCTAATACAATTATACAGAAAATAGTTCTCATCGAAAAGTCAAATGAACTTTCACAAACTTTTATTTTGAATTTGACTAAAAATCTTTGAGTCTAAACACAAGCAATTATTTCAGTCCATTATTTATTGTGATTCGTTTCAAGCAATCTTCATGTAGTCTTACGTTTAAACGAACAGTGCCTTGCGAAAAAAACATAATTTATCATTTTCATTCCTGAAAGCGTAATGGGACGTACCAAACAGTAAAATCCGCCATTTCTTGTACAACATAAATCTGAACTGATTATGGGTAATAGCCACCAAAAGTGTCTATTGCTGTTTTTTTTTATACAAAGACCTTTAATCTACACTGTGTACAAAGAGTATCGGACATTCATCCCTGGAATCTTATCGACCGATGTTCGAGTTTAATACTATCTTTGGCCTCTATCGTTTTCACAATTTTATTGCATTACTTCCATGGAATGTATTTATATTCTGACAGGGGACGAGATGACTGACAGTACAGATGCGTAGGTGCGTACAATGGCGGCTCCTGAACATTTCTTACATCATTAACTTTGATCATTATTTTCATTTAACCACCCGTAATCATGGTTGTAGAATGGAACGAAGCAAATTGTTATGTAATAATTTTTGTATTTGTTCCACCAACACTTTTTCGTATCTTATTAGTGCGTTGAACTGTAAAATTATTTTTTTATGCTAGCTGTAACGTTTAATGATCCGGTGACAGAGTAAAAAGAAGTGATGGCGTATTCGGCGAACAAAAGGTTAACTACGTTGCAACTTGGTTACCCATATTTTTTTCTTTCCAGGTGGCAATGAATAGTTTTTTTAATTTAGCAAATTTTTAATTTATCGTGGAAAACGTTAAAATTTGTAGATTTATTCGGTTGTCTTTCGGTAGATGTAGAAGAAAATTTCACGAAAATGAAATCAAATTTAAAAGCTAAAATAAAAATATTAAAAAACGTAAAAGTTCTTTTCACGATTAAAATTTCAACGAATCAGAGTTGAAGCACTTGTCAAATTATGATATTGTTTTAAACCACTACGGGTATTCTTGCAGACTTTTGCGTATACTGTTTCATTAATATCTTTCTTTGTAAAATTTTCAATTTCATTAAATGTTAATAATAACGTGATTCTACAAAATGAACGTATTAATGACGACGTTCGTGTTTCACAAAATGGCTGCTCGAAATACTCACCAGCCAGAAGCCTGGATATTTTTATAAAAGTAAAAATATGTTAAAATAATTTCTGAATGCGAAACCACGGAATTTGTTAAGTAAGGAAAAGGCCAGATCGAGTATGGAGAAACGACTAAGAAATTAATATCAGTGTTCAGTTGCGTTACCCTGGTTATACGAGAAGAAATCCGCAAGAATCCCCGAAGGATCGTAATTTCCGAGGGTCTGCAATTCGTAATTACAAAATCACCGTTAAAATTGTTTCAATATCCCCGCGAACATTCGGTTCAGGCACATAATCGTCGCAATTACGTGCACCACGTGTCGTCGAACAGTATCATTACGCACGCTCGTGACCCAGATTAATACTTAAGAACCTCTCGGGTGCGCCGGTCTTTACTTTGCTCTTATTTAATAAGGTGTACCTATATGTATGTATTTAAATGCCATACTAATTACTGTAAATACCGCGAATAAACGTGTATCTATATCTATATATTATATATACATATAAATACAAATATTCTATGTACTTAAATTGCCGACATTCGAATGCGGAATACACTCGACAACGAAACCAATTCGCGTTGATCTCATCGGCTGTCTGAAGAAAAAAAAAAACGAGAAAAATTAGAAAACAGCACGTTTAAGGTGGAAAAATTGTTCGAATAAGGAAACTCTTCGAACGATTTTTCCGTTCGAAGACTAGGCTGGAGCACTTACGCCACTTCCGGCGCTCCGCGACCGCGACTGTTCCGGTTCCATTATGACTTAAACGAACGACGAATAGTTTCTAATTGACAAAACACTCGCTGCGATAAGTACTGTTTCGATTGATTTAATAAAATGTTTATTACTTGAAAGTACTATGGGAAGATTTATTCATTCAGTCGGTGAACCAATAATGTCAGTTTTTGGTGGCACCAATAAAGACAATTCCTAGGTCCTTACGATGAATCAGATTTTTGGTAAGGAGATATGTGTGTTTATAGACACATATTCACAATGAATACTTTATACTACTTAAATTTAACTCAAACGTTAAATTAGATGTACGATAAGATAAATACTGTCTGCTCTTTATCATGATGCCTGACTTTAAAAAATGTATTAATGTAGCTGCTTAATCAGGAATTTAATCTGAACCAATTATTTCATCCAACTAACAGAATCTATTCTAACAGAAACTATCGCTGGAAATCTATGATTACGCTGCAGATGTTTATGCAACATTATATTTTCTAAAGTAATTCATTTTTCAGTTTTACTCTGAACTCAATATGATTCTTAAAAGAATTAAGATATTTCTACATTTGCTCTTATTTTTGAGTTCAGAGTAAAATAACGAATTCGTTAGATCTGATGAAAGCTCTTCTTGTTATTTGAATTTTACAGACCTCTATAGGCTGTAAATGCATAAAATCCGCAGTCTAACAATGACATATCGATAAACCACGAAAGACTTTAAGGTACAACCCAATAATTTCGTATCGAAGATCAACGCCTCCTTACCCGAGTTAAGTTCCTCTCAC